ATCAAAACCCACCCCTAGATAACACTATTTATACACATGAGGTATTCAAGTGAAGTGGACAGGATAGAGTAATAAGAAAAAGCTGAAACTAATGACAATGAGACAAAGGAAGTAAAACTAAACACAGTAACACAGGAGCAAATGAACTACCAAAATAAAACAGGACGTAAATAATAACTGGAAAAGGAAAAGACAGGAAGAGGGCAAAGGAAACACTGAGGAGAATGTTACCAACATTATTAGACTATAACCAAAACTGAAGATTCAAAACACGAGTTAACCGTGACACCAAAGCCAAACAATAACACTGAAAACAGAAGACTCCTAATAACATCAGTAACCACAAACGTCCAGAATATAACCCAAAAATCCCATAACAAAACCCACAGACCGTGACAAGTTCGATATTGTTCAGCACCAGCTCAGATATTTTTCCCTTAGAAAAATCTTGGTTTATTCTTTTCATGATTATGTCTTGTTGACATTTAAAAGTCAAAAAGACACAAACACTGCTTAATATTCTGAAGCTTCACTCTAGACTCAGACAAATGAACTGCATCAAGTTTGAGTAATTCTACCCAGACTTCTTACTTCTTCTTATGACATCCAATGTTTGACAGATAGAGGCAAGCACTATTGAGGCTTCTTTTTTAATGGCTTCTCTCGGTCTCCTGCTAGATAGTGTTGTTAATATTGAAGTGTAGGGAGTGCAGCTACAGTTATGGAGGAAAACAGCTGATGTAAAGCTCACACAGCTTAGAAGTGTTTGTTTTATCACCCTTGGCAAAGCTGAGAGAATCCATAAGATGAATTTCACTTTGTAACTCCCTGTCTGGAGTAATTGCACTGCTGACTTTTATTTTGCTTCTCTTTTTCTTTGCCTTATGCCCGGCACAGGTTTGCTTTCTTTGGGAACGCCATGGTTCAGCAGTCCCCCAGGAGAGAGCACCACACCAGTGAGTGAAGATTCACCCACTCATCTGGCATCTACTTTGGCTGCCTCCAGTATATCTATGACTACAGAGAGCAACAAGAGCTGGGAGAACTCGGAGACACCTACGTCCACAACCTCCAGGCCTGCACCTGAAATCCCCTCTTCCAGCGGAGACGCCTGGATCCGTGTCGATGCCGAGACCACGACTCAGCCTGTAGACAAGAGGGGGGAGACGGTGACCTCCAGAGCCAGTGGGAGAGGACGAGGAAGAGGGAAGAAGAACAGAGGGGAGGACAGGAGCAGGGGAGAAGAGAAGGGGAGAGGAGAGGAGAGAGGGAAAGCAGAGGAGGAGGGGAGTGGAGAAATCACCGGGGCAGAAGCAAAAGGAGAAATACAGGTCTCACGCCGGCCAGTCGGAACAAGCAAGCCAAGGGAAAGATCCAGAGAAAGATCCAGAGAGAGAGGTCACAGGAGAGGACACTCCACGACTACCACAACCACAACTACAACTGACACGGCCTCAACCACAGATGACACGACCACAACTACAGATGACATGATCACAACCATAGCTGACACAACCGCAGCCATAGCTGACATTAGCACAACCACCACCATCACCACTGACAGACCTCATGATCCAACAGACATGACCACATCTGGTACACAAAGTGACTTTCCTACTTCCAAATCCTCCCCTGCTTTACCAGAAGCAGAAAAGTCATCCCTGTCAGTCTCAGATGCCCCATATCAGACACTATCTTCATCTCCATCTGCACCCCCATCCACCATGCCATCCATATCTTTCTTCGAGCCATCCCAATCTGAAGCTGAGTCTCATTTTCTCCCCTCATCTATCCCCTCTTCCTTCTCTCCAACCCGAACACCTTCCTCACCTCCACTCCATCCCCAAACCCCATCTTTTTCACCTTCAGTCCCTTCTAACGTCCCATCAGAGACTCAAACTGTTGAATTGGGAGACAAAGCTACGTCACCTCATTCAAAAAATCAGGAAAGCTCCACTGACGCCCTAACGCCACTTCACTTAGTCCCAGTGGAGAAGGTGGTGGTGAACGGCTCTCTGGATAACCCTCTGTCCCTGTCGGGACCCCCAGATGAGGAGGAGCCTGCCTGGTCTCATTCTGTGGGCTCAGGGGCCCTGTTACCCGTCACTATGGAGGAAGAAAGCAGCAGCACAGGAGGAGGAATCAACATCAGCACCACAGCGCTCAGTCCGACATGTAAGCATCTTATTTCTGTTTTCAGATATTTTGTTATGCCTTTGGTTGCCTTTACCTTTCGTGCTTGCTCATGTAACTTTTGTTAGTAATCCACAACTATTTTTCTTGTATGTGATTTAAAATTAAAAGAAGGAAAATGGGGCAAAGAAAACACAAACAGTCAGACAGACACATATCAATGAAAGTTACTGTATCTGGAAGGGAAAACAAAGGCAGGCTTTAAAAGGATGAACCCAACTTTCTGAGATAGCTGTTCATCACAGTTTATGTTCTCTTTCATCTTTGACCTTTTGTTCTCACCATTACAAGCACTTTTTGTGTTCGGCGACTTATTACTGAGGATGTTGGCAGTTTGCAAATGTCTTTTTTCCCCACCCACATAAAAAACCTCGGTAGGAAGCTCAAAGATTCACTTTAGAAATGGGACCAGGAAGATCTGTTCTTTAAACCTGCCATGACCATAGTCTGTATATAAAAGAAACACATAAATCAGCCAGTTGTCTGTGTACCTTTTGAAACCAGACGTAACAGTCGAGCAGTGGTTCTGAGAATATCGTATGGTAGCAACTCAATCACAAGGTGGCCAATACCCCTAAGGCTCACCCTGCTTTATCATCTACTCTAATCTGTACCATAACTCACAACTTGAACATCATAAGACTTGAAATTAGTGCTTGAGTTGTCTTTATGATCATTCATTCACACTTTTTGGGGGCTTACGCTAACTCCTGAGGTAAATATGAGGCTCTTTAGCAGCTAAATCCTATTCTATGTTCACCAGCTGGTCGCTGTCTTCTTAAAAAGACGTGAAAAGTAGACGTGGACATTAGAAATCTTTTTTTATGGGTGTTGAAAGCAGCTGTCTGGAAATCCAAACAATGATGCTATGAGTATCGTTAAAGGTATTTTTTTTGTACGATAATCACCATGAATGGCATGCTTCACATTGCATTGTTGTAGTAAAGCTCATATCTGCTTTAATGGTAGCTCCAACTGGCTGGGCAGCATAAGAAAGTTAAGTAATGCATCAATACTAATTAAATTGTCTTCAGGGTCATTTGCAAAGCAAGATAATACACCGTCTATCCATTGAGAAATATAGAAGCAACTTCATCCTTCAAGTAAGTACACGCCTGTGTTATGTCCTGTTCCTTGGAGTAAAGTCTGAGGCGTGCCTGTTTAAGCTGTTGTCCCAGAGAAAACTGAAAAGTAAGACGTGAGTTGTTGGATTACAAAAAAAAAAGAGGGAATTATCTTTCAAGGCTACCTTTTCATTACTTTCCCTCTGACCTTGCCTCTGGCTTATTTATTCAAAAGATGCGGTTTGTTTTTCCTGGCAACAGAAGATGAGCCCACCATGCACAACTCATGATTAAGTCCGCAGCGCAGTGAAGCTGCTGGCTGGCCACCTGGTTTACTTCTTATTTTGTGCTTGATAATGAGAGCGCACACAGAAAGCGTCCTATCGCTGAGCATTTCAAAACCCCCTGGGCATCATGCTATCACACATTTCTATGGTGATTTATTTTTGCTCTGTGAAAGCTGCTCTTGTCTGTGGCAGGCATGGTGAGGAGTCTGCGGATGGAAAACAGCTGTAAACTGTATTGACAAGAAGCCGAGGGCAACCATCTGGGCCGCTGGTGCGCAGTATGAGGGTTGATTGATTGAGTGAGAGACCCTAGAGTCATGCAGGCAGAAGGCCATAAACACACAGTTATATTTTTTTGCTATACAAACAGTAGAGTGGATGAAGTCACTCGCAGCCGATTGGACCCGAATAATAGCGTTCAGCTTCACACGTCTTTCTCGTGTACACACCTCTGCTCGGGCTCGGTCCCTTGTGGTTGGGTTTCATGCTGGTGGTCATTATTTGCTCTCCTGACTGGATCACAGAGCACTTCATCAGTCAGCTGAATCAATGAGAGAGAGGAGGAAATAGCCTCAGGTTTGCTTTAAGGACCTTTAGTAAAAGCGCATTGTTCCTCAGAGGTGAACAAACACACATGTGGCTCCACATTCAGTGCACAAACACGCACGTCTGATCTTTTTAGGCAGATTCGTATCTTTCTGTGCCATTTAAATTGCAGCCAGCTGTCTTGTTTCCACCTTTCTATTTGCGAGTGCTTATGCACAAATCATATTTTCAAGATAACCCGTACTGTTGCTGTGCCCTTGGCTATGATTACTAGATGCAATGCATAATCTGTGGATTAACTGTCCTATCTCTGTAGACATATTTACATGAGTACAGTTTTGCTTTTGCCAGTTTATTGTTGATGTTGGTACCCGAGCTGTCAGCCTCTGTGCAGAACGAAGGGGCAGTCCACTCTGTCAGCTCCCACTACGGGCTATTGATTTTTCTGCACCACTCGCTTTAATGAACGAGCAATCGCACAAGGTTTATCTTTCACACATACATATATCTATCCACACACACACACACACACACACACACACACACACGAGGCGTAAATCTGCTTGTCAAAGCAGTTGATATTTGTCAAGATGTGCCGTGACCTTGACTGATGCAGAGGGTGCAAGTGCACGTTAGCCCACACTGATGTACATTAAATGAAATGCATGGCTGGGTTTAGCACCTGACTTCAGCGGAATTCAAAGCGTGATGCGAGAGGAGTAGCTCGCAAAATTCATCACAGAGCTGAAGCTATTGACAGTTCTTTCTCTGCGTTCGGGTCCTTGTGGTTGAAAGCTTTCAATGCTCTTTTGTCCTTTAACCTTTAGCTGGCAGCGTTAGGATCATTCAGAGGATGTGTGCTTCTGATCAGTTATTGAAGAATCTCACCCTGAGGGCTAATCATAGCCAGAGTATTGATTTTAACTCATCGTACCATGTAAATACACAAAGCCACACACCAAGACATTCACCGTCAACCTCACAAACACACACCACCCCCACCTAAGCAGCCTTCGGTGTCAGGGAGAGAGCTGGCAGAACAAAGACTCCCACAGCCGAGCTTTTGTAGCCAGGATGAACGAGTGGTGGTTTTCAAAGACCTTAACTTGCTATAACGAGCAGCTCAGGGGAGAAACACGTGGTAGTGTGTCAATTGATATGGAAATTTTTAATTGTGGAAATGGACCACACACACGCACACGTTTAGGGGGTGAATGGCAGGGACGAGGCGCTCAGCGGGAGGTCCCCTCATTTCTGTTGAGGATGGCTAATGTCTCAAGTTCTCACGCTGCCCACTATGCTCAATGGAGTGAGCGCAGGCTCGCTTTCCATATGGTAACCATGACAACTGTGGCTGTGAGTGGATGGCGAGGTTGAGGCTCTTCGGCTTCTGATCCCTTTGAAAAGAGACGGAGTGTGAAATGGATATGCATCTGTTGTAACCGCTGGTTATGACTGAGCTGCGCTGATGGAAAATTTAGAGCGCCGTGTCTTTTTGCTTCTTTTTTCTTTTCTCAGAATCATACATTGATTTTATTGAGGAAATTATGTTTAATCCGTCCATTTTAAGAGGATTAACACAGAAATCTTTTCACCGCCTGCGAGATTAGATGCACCTGCTTTTTCTTGGAAAAATAAATGATATCTACAAACACAAAAAACATTCTCTTTTACAATGTTGCCAATTAACGGTTCCATTTTTCCTCCCTTCACCTCCCTCCATCCGTCTGTCTGTTTTAGCTGAGGTGGAGCCCTGCATGACAAACCCATGTCTGCACGGAGGGAAGTGCCTTCCTCAGGGAACGGGCTACACCTGCTACTGCCCACAAGGATACACTGGGGAAAACTGTGAGATTGGTGGGTCACGGTCACACATGCACAACACACACAAACATACACAGTGATATAATGAAGTCATCCCCGTGTCTGTCTGTATTTAACAAAGTAGGGCTCTCTAACAGCCCTTTAGAAGGGTCAAAGGTCAAGCTGTCCATCACTGTGGGAGATAAGGCCAATGGGAGCCAGAGGTCAAAGGTTAAGTTCACACTGTCAGGCTGATGGTTACAGTCCCTCAAGGTCAAATTAAGTCGGCATTTGCATAAAGAACTTTTATTTTAGCTAAAAAAAAATGTGAAGGAAAGAAAAGAAAAATGCTCCAGGACAGAAATGACAAATCTCTGCCAATGAAACAGACTTCCATCATTACAGCCTCTTGAATTTTGTAAGCTGAATTGATTTCTTGTCCCTTGAAGAAAAAGATTAAGGTTCTGGAGTCATGTCAAGGCCGCTTAGTTTTACCAGGAGTTAAAAAACAAAACAAAACACCCCACTAATAATATCAGAACTCACTGACTCAAATTAGCACAACAAATGAATGATTTGTTTCCCACCCGAATGGCTTCATGTGCCTTAAACTTGATTGATGAATCTTTTCATTGAATAGATTTCTGTGCTGCTGATGGACAGAAACGAAAAGCAGAGCAAAGCTAATCTACTTTGCAGAGGTATAAATAGAGTTGAAAGCTGCTGTTCTCTGTTATTTGTGACTTTGCAGTCAGTGATGCTACAGATAGAAAGAGCAAGGTCAGAAGGCCCAACCGGCTGCCGTGTTTTACAAAACCTACTGACGGTGACGCGAAAAAAACTATAAGACAGAGAAGGTGTCGGTTTCACCATTTATTTCTCAGCATGTAAATCAGTCCCTGACTTTGAGCTACTTATTATTTCAGCTTAAAAGATGAGATCTAAATATAGTTTGTATTGATACCAGCGCTGGTATTGGATACTGGATATAGAATACTAGTGCAATACGCTCGATACTTTGTTTCTCTCCTCTAAGTGCAGTATGTAGCCCACTGAATTATGTTAAATAAAAGCTTTTTTTTGGAAAAGAATAGTATACCACAAACATGCTGAATGAAAAATGTCTGAATCTTTTTGTGTTGACTGTCACGTCTATTTTATTTATAGCCTAGAGCACATTAAAAACAACAGATGTTGACCCAAAGTCCTTTAGAGACAGGCACATTTACATCCCAGGTCTAAAAAAAAACCCCAGTTTACATGAAAAGCTCAGGGTTGTGCTTTGTTGTGTGTATTGTCTAATTATTGTGGAAAGTCATTAAAACCTGTTCAGATTTTCCATGATTCATCTCATAAATCATGACACACAGCTCTCCCCTACATAAACTCCATCTACAGGTTAAAAGGATCACTACTGGTATTGACAATACTGGCCCTGTATTTACATGGTATCGGATCAGCACCACTGGTGGTATCAGGAAATCAGATTGTGTTTTGATATAAAAACACACATCTGTGTAGATTCAACTATGGATTGCATGTGTCTTCATAGAAAAACAATATTTAAAACTGCCAATATGAACCCCAAATACAAATGTGTCCAACACACCATTGCTAACGATCCGATTTTCACACTAAAATGATGTGTTGGATTTTTTTTGTAGCATTTTCAAAGTGTTGCAGCATATCCAGTACTGTGCCAAGTGCATAGGTTGTCCAGGGGTTTTAGAGTATGCAAGCAATAACACCAGCAAAAATATCCCACAATGCAATGCATTCATGACACACATAACAGCCACTGCCAGCTGGTGTTCAAGTCAGCTGAGGCCCATAACTCTGCAATTTAGGTGTTAAGGTGTTTAAATACAGCTTTCTGGCATATTTTCTTTTTAATTTGTTACTCGGTTCTCTCAAAATGAGGTCAGGTTACCATAGAAACACTCTTTAACCGTTTATAGGTGTATACTCATGCACTAAATATCTGAAGCTGCTGTTCCCTTGCTGCATCATGTTTGTGCAGGAAAGTCTAAAACAAAGCCGAAGTCACGTTCTCTGTTAATGCATCTGTTAGTGTCAGCGTCACAGTATCATTACACCGGAATATAAGGTGTTTCCTGAAAAATGTATGTATATGAAACGTTTTCAGGAATTGTATCAATGCTGTGAATACTGATAACGTCCCAACATACTGTACACATTAACTTGACTGGCTCCCTAGCATAGTAATATTTCAGAAGAAGTGCTTACAAGCCTCATTCTGTCTCTGCACGTCCCAAAGCAGACACCAGCAGCACTTTTGCTTCGGGACTGTGACCCTTTGAAACCGAGATATAAATCTGCCTTGAGGGTCCAGATTTGTTACTTAACACATGCTCTGCTTATTAAACAGCAAGTCAATCAAGGAAGCGAGTCAACAAAACAAACCGCACACACACAATTGCATGCACAGTAGCACCCTGTTCTTACTTTTTGTGCGTTCAGTCACGTAAAAATGGACGGATGGACAGGCAGACAATCAAACTGACAGCCAGCAGCCGATGCGTGGGCATGATGCAAAGCTTTGTTGTGGATTTGCAGAATTTGCAGTATTATGTCTCTGAGGAGCAGCATCCCCTCTGCATAATGGATGAGCGGGACAATCGGATCAGACTTTTTATATTGAACAACAAAGAGCTGCACTGATTTTAATGGGGGAATGAGAGAGTTAGTGGTGCGTGTTGAACTGTGTGTGGTTAACAGTGCTCCCACTGATCCCGAGGTCATTCAAAGTCAGGCTACACATAACGAGACCGGGGGGTTCGCATGCATTTGTTCTATTTAGGAACATGTGCCTGTGATTTTGATGATTTGAATCATGTAAGACTGAGTTCAACATTGAGTACATCATTTAATTTGAGTTCCAATTAAAAAAAAAAAAAATGTCAGTTTGGTGCCACAGAAGCCAAACCCTGCACATTGTGCCTTTAAGGTAGTTTTTTCTTCTCAATACAACATGTGAATTTTGATAAACTTTAGGAATTTGTGCTCTCTTGAGTTGATATTTGATTTTAGGGACAAACAACATTGTTTGGTTGATTAAAAGTTTCCACACAGAAGAGTGGGAACTCTTCCAAGAAAACACATTAGCATAAAACTCTTGATATCAGTCATTAAATCCATCCTCAAAAAACAGCCTAATTTTATTTCATTCTTCTTAAACGAGCTGCACATTTTTATAAACAGATAAACGACCTTAAACTGAAGTCATAAAAGGAAAAAAAAGACCCAGAAACAAGCTCACAGTGCATCCTGAAACACACACAACCGCAGGTTAGCCCAGATTAAAAATTAATCCTTTTGCAACATCACACTCAGGCTGAAGTGTGAAAGTCTCGCATGAGGCTAAAGGTCATTCTGGGCTGATCTGTCGCTCAGATTTAGCTCTTCACAGCCACTGGCCTTTTCACTGCTTTTCACTGGAACTAAGCAGTCATTAAGCTGAGAGGAAATACTTTGAAGTTAGGTTGAACTTGAAAGTCGCCTTCTTTCTACACTCTTGCTGTGAGTTTTAATAGATTTCTGCAGTCCTGGGGAGTATCTGTTATTCTGTGTCAAATAAAACCCCACACTGGTGAAGGAAGATTACATGCCCTCCATTTATAATGATAAAGTGATATTTTATTGATCTCTGTAGAGAAACGTTCTCTTTGTCTGATTTAAAAAAAAAAAACCCAGAGAGGTTAGAGAGTATAAGCAGCTGCAGAGAGCTGGAAGGGTTTCTATTGTTGCTTAAGGCCTCTTAAGGTTGGGGGCAGGATTTGCTAAAACAAGTGCTTGAACCTAGATCTTTTGGTCAGACTCTGCCTTTCTGCTGGGTTATCCATCAAATTTACGCCTGTTCTTTAACGGCATTTAAAGAAAAGCATTCCACTGTGTAGCCTACTACTTCTCGCTCGTGCAGTTGTTTGTAAATGGAGACAATGCAGAGAGAGAAAAGAAGAGAATAGACACATGAAGTCAACCTTGGATTCGGTAAATGCATAAAAAGAATGTAATAACACTAGAAAGGCTTTTAGAGTGCCTTCCTCTGTGAGAGAATGAGGATAAATAAGGAATGTAAGAGGAGATTAGACTGTCTGTATTCTCCTCACACCCCGTCTGAATTATGATAATGTACTCAGCAACATGGACACATTTCAGTGTTTAAAGCAGGACTAATAACCAGCTCATCTTGTGTCAGAGCTTGAGTGGCAGCAGACGCCCACGCTGTTTTATTTTTTTTGGTTCTGAACAGCATCACTTCAGCTGAATATGTCCTATTAATTTGAACCCTAATGAGATCTGCAACCCATCTGTTCTCACTGCTTTTTCCCTTCACCGCAGACGTTGACGACTGCCAGTCCGAGCCTTGTGCAAATGGAGGCACTTGCATCGACAAGATTGATTCCTTCCTCTGCCTTTGCCTGCCCAGCTACGGAGGAGACATGTGTGAGAAAGGTGAGAGGCTGGTGCACGCACACAAAAACACATACATGATTAAATAACAGATTACTCCGAGCTGTGCGAAAGGAATTATTTTGCAGTCTGTGTTTGAAACGGTGCTGAACTGTAATTCGGCACATTGTTGTGTACTGGCCTTTTCACCGTTGTGACGCTTGCGCTGAAAGGTTTGTTGCTAACTGTGCTGGTGGAAATAATCCTGATCAGTGTGCAGCATCTGTTACTGCCGTGTGTCATACCACAATATCACAAGGGTGCGTCGCTTTGCAGATATCAGACAATGTATCTGAGTGTCACAGGGCTGCAGGGTGACAGATACTGACTGAATTTGGCCATGCACGTAAATCCACAGACTATTTTCAAAGCGTCAGTTAATATTTCCACCGTTTTTCGTCAGCACCACACATCCACACTTCCACAGGTTTGTGTAGCAGGTGATACGAATCAAAAAACCTTCTTCTACTGTGTGTGACGTGAAACTAATGTTGATTGATCATTTATGACTAGTAATTGTCATAAATGCAGTAATTGTTTTATGTATGTTTGCATAAATGCAACATTTAAAATGGGAAACTGGCATTTTTGATCTCTCTTGGTGGATATCATCTGTGCCTTACTACAGAAGATATTCAATTCAATTCAATTTTATTTATATAGCGCCAAATCACAACAATAGTCGCCTCATGGCACATTATATTGTAAGGTAGACCCTACAATAATTGCACAAGACAACTCAGTGGATAACTGTCTTGCAATATTTTTGCAGAAATATTTAGATGCTTTACACTGAAATTAGCAATACAACTGTGTAAAATATGCACAAGTTACAAGCATCATTCAAAACTCTTCTTCACGTAAAGTACAAATGTGTTAGCATCAAAAAATGTCTAAAGCAAAAGTCCTTCTATTACACATTATAAAATCATATACAGTATATTATTCATAATTATGAATACATTAATAATAATCTGGGGAGAGGAATACCATTTCCTGGTACTTTAATAGTTACACCTTGCCATGTTATGTTAAAAAGAAACCCAAACAGTTCCTGATGATTTGAGCTAACAACCAGTGTTATCCAGCTGGAAGAAGTCGTTAAAAAACAGGTACACTGTGGTCATAAAGGGATGAGCACACCCAGCAACAATACTCAGGTTGGCTGTAGTGTTTAAATGATACTCAGTTGGTAACAAGGAGCCCAAAGTGTGCTAAGAAAATATCTCCCACTCCATTTACACCATTATCCAGCAGCCTGAACTGTTGATCCAAAGCAGAATGGATCCATGCTTTCATGCTGTTTATGCCATAAACTGTAAAGTTGTTGTGTGTGAAAACTCTACCACATCAGCAGTTTCTCAAATACTCAGACCTGCACCAACAACCACGCCAAATCAGCTTTCGTCCCCATTCTGAGGCTCAGTTTAAACTTCAGCGGGTTGTGTTGAGCACGACTACATGCTTAAATGTATTGAGTTGTTGCCATGAGACATGAGACATGCCAGCCTTAACAAGCAGATGAAGATGTGTAGCTACTAAAGTACTTTTGTAGATAATAGCCCGTTTTTAATGACTCCAGGAAGAGTTGTTGTTACCTCAGAAAAAAAGATTGCTGATCTGGATGCACGCAAGAAAACCTTATTTATAAAACACCTTTGAAGCATAAGTTCAAAGTGCTTGAAAAAATGAATGTGGGAACAAAAAAGATAAAGGAGACTGAGAAGATGATATACAGTATAAAAGTAAAAAGAATAAAGTGGACAGCTGACAAAATGTTTTTCAATTCTTAAATAAAAAGTCAAAGGAAATGGAACAGCTTGTTCAGTCCAGAGGTTCTCCTTGTTTCCAAAATTTGTGTTGCAGCCTTGTGCAGGGTGGCAGATACTGAGTGAGCACACACACACAGACACACACAGACACACACACGCGCGATTTTCTAAGCTTCAGTTAATAATTTCATGAGCATGTGCATCATGAAACATTGGGAAAAAATCTTAGTGTTTGTGTGGTACATGGTGCTAATCAC